ATTCACACTAATTACTGTGTCTTTTGCCATGCAGAAACTTCTTAGTCTGATGTAATCCCACTTGTCTATTTTGGGGATTATTGACAGTACTTTAGGGGTCTTATGTAAGAAGTCTTTCTGTACCCCAATGTCTCCCAGAGTTTCCCCCAGTGTTTTCCAGGAGCAGTTTTACAGTTTGAAGTCTTAGATTTAGATCCTTGATCCACCTCGACTTGATTTTTGTCAGAGGTAGGGGTTCATATTCATCTTTCTGCAGGTGGAAATCCAGTTTTTCCAGCACCATTTCCCACTGGATTGACTGGTACCCCTTATCAAAGATCAGTTGACTGTATGTTTGGGAATTTATTTCTGGGGACTCTATTCTGTTCCATTGGTCCACGTGTCTGTGTTTAAGCCACCGAGTCCAGTACTCCAACCGTGGTCAACTACATGGGAGTCCAGCGACTTAGCCATTGCCATCTCCTGGTCCCATGGCATGATTTTTTTTTCATTTTATTTATTCATTCATTTATTTAAATTTGACGAGAGAGAGACAGAGACAGAGAGACAGAGAGAGAGAGGGAGAATGAGAAAGCAGCCACCAGGTCCGGGATTTGAAAGGTAGTCAGCCATGTGGGAGTGTCCAGCGCCTCAACCACCACGCCACCCTCTAGTACCTCCTGGCATGATTTTCAAGCCTCCAGTTCCAGGACTCAAACTGGGCAGTCAGCCATGGGAGATCTACCTCCCAAATTGTTTATTTAATTGATTATTATTAGTAGTATTTTAACCAGAAAGAGACAGAGAGACAAGGGGAAGTGAGAAAGCAAGCCACCAGGTCCGGCCTCCAGGTCCACCCAGCTGCCAGGTCCGGAGCCGGAACCACGAGCAGCCATGTGGGAGTCCAGTGCTTTAACCATCAGGTCACCTTCCAGCGCCCCCATTCAGTCTTTTAAATATAGAGATTGATTGACTAGGTTGATTTCACAAAAATAGATCACCTGCGCTCCACACCGGCTGCCCCCTCGGCCTTGCCCCAGGGTCCCGCCTCGCGCTGATTTAGCTCTCCCACCATCCCGCAGGAGGGCGTCCTACTCCCGCACCTCGGAATGCGGTTGCATCCGGAGACGGGGGTCTCTGCAGAGGCCACGCAGGCCAAAGGAGGCCCTGGGGGGGGGGCCC